CACAAGCACCAGCCACTTCTCGAACTCCCGCAGCACATCGCTCTTCTTAGCGACCGGCATTGCCCACACGAATCAAGTATGGCGATCCTTCAGCAGTAGGAAGTACAAGCTGCCATCCTTGGCAGCCACCCGAAATGGCCCGCACAAGTCAATGTGCACGACAGCCAGCGCCTCCGCTGCATCCGAGCCCTTGGCGGGGAAGGTGTGCCGCGCCAGTTTTCCTCCGACGCACGAGACGCACGGCGGGTCTGCTCCGGTCGACGACGTGATGTCGAGCCCAGTAGCAACATCATGCTTTGCCGAGCTCTTGATCGTGTCGAAGCTGACGTGTGCGAGCCGCGCATGCATCCTGTCGGGGGTCGTCTTCGTCGCGGAGATGATCGTCCGCAGAGCCACCACCTCGGCCGACGGCGACTGCGTCGAGCAGGGGCGAAGGTCGGTACAGAGTATTCGTCCAGTGTAGCAGGCTCGACCGAGCACCTCCCCAGTCGCGGCGACGAGCAGCATCTCATCGCCATCGCCCTGCTGCAGCACTCCGCTCTCCTTCAGCTGGCCAGCAGACAACAGGTTTGCCTGTACGCCCGGAACGTAGAGTACGTCGGGGATGAGGACCCGCTTCCCGGTCTCCCCTTGCAGAGCGACGGTTCCGCGACCCTTGACAGGCTGCAATGCCCCTTTGAACCCACGCACGTGCTTCACTCCGTCGCTCGGCCCCATGTCGACGAAGCCGACTTCGTCCCCATCAGGTGGTGGGAGCACCCGCTGTCGAGCAGCACCGCCATCGGGTTGGCCTGCACAGCTGCTGCCACTGCCTGGAAGTCCTCGCCGGCCTCCGGCGCCAGCGAGACCATCGGCTCCACCACGCCGACCATCGAGCACAACGCCTCCCCGTCGCCTCGGCTCTTGCCGCTGGAGCTGTCGACGTCTTTCGTCGACGACGTCTTCTTCGACGCTTGCTTCTCTTTGCGCGGCTTCTCTACTCGACGGGGGCGACGACTGGCCGATTGTCCGCGGCCTCCCTTATTGTCGTCCTCGTCACTGTCATCGCGGTCGGGGCACTCGAAGGAGAGATGGTCGGGATCGCCGCAGATCCAGCACTCCCGCCGTCGACCACCACCTCGTCGACCCTTGTCCCGCGTCGACCTCTTCTCGTCGACATCCTTCGTCGACCGCCCACCTCCGCTACCACCTCCGCCTGGCTTCCCGCGGTGCTCCTGCTGATAATTCGGCTTCGTCGGTGCAGCGTAACTCGCCTGCGGAAGGAACTCCGTGGGCTGCTCTGCCTCCTGCATCGCCTCATCCTGGAGAATGTAGCTGGTGATGGAGTCCTCGTCGAGGGACTCACGCGTGCCGGGCACCATCATCATCCTCTTCATGAGATTGTAGCTGCGCGACAAGCCCTTGATGATGTGGGTGATGTAGGACGTCGTCGAGTATTCGGCCCCCGCCATTCGCATCTCAGCCAGGATCCGTCGAGCACGGTTGCAGTAATCCGTCGCCGACTCCTGCTCGCCCATCCGAATGTGAGTCATCTTCTCCTCTAGCTGTCCGATGTACAGGTCATCCCTGACCTGGTACGTCGATATAATGAAGCGCCATGCCTGGTGACCAGCATCCACACGCTCTCGACAGCTCCTGAGCGCCAGCTGCACCACAGGCGAGCAGCACCTCGAGATGACCATGAAGGTGAGCAGGTGAGCAGAACGAAACTCCCCGCGCAGCCCGACATCATCCTCGGGCGGAATTGGCACGGTGCCGTCGGCGAAGCCCTTCAGCCCGGCGACCTCCAGCTGAGGTTCGATGGACTCTCTCCAGGTGATGAGATCCCGTCGACCTTGCAGCGGAGCGACGGTGATTCGATCCGGCGAAAACTTGAAGTAGCCATACGCCGGTGCAATCCCGCCCGCCGTCACATGCGACGTCGCTGAGAGCCCGCCACCACTTCGTAGCGGAGAGCGACGTCGAACATCGACGTCGGCGTGCGAGCTGCCTGCAGCCGCCGTCGACCGCTGCACTCGCGCCTGGATTCCGTCGACACCACCGTCAACCTTGATCACTCCTCTCTGCCTCGTGCCTTCGGTGCCGCTGACTCGTGCACCACTGTCGACCTCGTCGTCGACGCCACCTTCGTTGCGCACCGGTCGAGGAGAAGTAGGACGGGAAGGGTGTTCCGTCGCCCACTGCGACCGGATGCCCAACTCAGCGATGACCAAGGGGATCGTGCCGTACTCGCCATCCGCGTGGCGTCTCCTCGCGTCAGCCAAACGTGCCTCCAAGGTGTCCGTTACACCCGCATCAGCTACGAGGTCGACCATGGCGACTATCGCTGCTGCCGGCCTACAAACGACTTAGTAGGTGCAAAAGTCGGCTCCTATCTGAAGGCCGCGTGTTCGTTCCACGCTCACCGCACCATGCGAAGATAAACTCTACAGCGGTAGTGAGACGGACTACAGGATTGGCACGAACTACTAGAGGTGATCGTAGCTTTGCTTGGTTCCTCAGTGCTTGCACATTCACGGGAGAAATTGGCAAGAGTTTCCACTAGCAAAGTTGATAATTCCAGAATTATTGAAGAAGCAATGACAACAATGACTACATCAGGCACCTAGCAACCCTGCAGCTAGCTTGGTCGACCGCCAGCGCAGCTCGGTCGACCGCCTGCCAGCATTGCGTAGAGGAGCCGCACCAGCACTGCAGAAGGGCGACCTGCCAACAAGGCAGGTCGACGGCGTGCCCCGTAGAGCACAGCAGTGCGCGCGCTCGCAGGTGTGCGCAGACGATTGGCCCGACTTGCCTCGTTGGGCATCCGTCGACTGTTGTCTGCGCCTGACGAGCCACATCGACTTCGGGATACCAGTCCGAAGTCGCCTGCGCCATCGCGATCTCGACGACGTTCGCGAGCCTTCGCAGAACTCGTCGAGCAGGTTACTCGGTCGACCTTGTCGACCCCTGGCGCTCTGGTCGACCCCCAGGTGCCTCCGGTCTACCACTGGGTCCCTCTGGTCGACCACCAGGCGTTCCTGGTCGACCACAACTCCCGTCGAGCTACCCCCTGGTCGACGGACCCCTTCTGTCGACCAGAACTGCTCTGTCGACCTCCCGGTCGAAATGTAGGTCGACGGACTGCTTCGTCGACCTCCCTGACTCGCACAGACCAGTCAGTTGCAGCTGTCGAGCTCCTTGGTCGACAGCAACACCATAGCGGTCCGCTGCATCTCGACGTAGCCTGTCGAGCAGCTATCCCACTGTGAACAGTCGGCTGCTACTCGCGTGCATCCGACCAAGTCGTCGGCGTTCCCCAAGCGAGGGCGGGGCCAACACTCCATTCCTGTTAACAGCCGTCATCATGGCACTAGAGCAAACCCACACACCACGTAGGTAACTTATGAAACTAGGTTTTGAGACGCTGGTTGGCGGTTGCCAGGGAATCGGAGGTGAGCTTTCTGGTTGTTTGCTACCTTTAGGCCCTGTTCGATAGCTTCTAAACCTTCCAGGATGCAACCATTTGGAATGGCCCTGTCGCCCAAATGGTTAAGGGTCGCGACAAACTGCAAGTGGGGCCTCAGGGCCGGCAGTGTAATCATTTGGCCGCCCCAACGCCGGCTCGAACTCAACCGTGCAGGGTGTCGAAATGCTCCACCCCAACGGCCCATTGAAGCAGACGAGGGTTCCCCCAAAGTTGACAGGTGAAGGCAAAAAAAAACCGAAAAACAAAATACCGCTGGATGTAGGGAAAAAAAAAACCAACCACGTAGAACATCTCTGCAAGGAAACCCTAATTCGCGAAACACACTTCCTACTATGAATATGTTACGGTGTATGTCGCTAAGGCACTGGACTCCACGAATCGCGACGTAGTACGAAGCTGCGAAATGTGCAAGTCTCGAGAGTCAAAAGGCTCAGATTCGGCCGGGCATGCTCTGTTTTTCTTTACCCTACTTTTGGGCAGTTAGAGATAGAGAAGCCGCTAGATTAGACTATCCCTAAATAGCCCATTGGTCTGGCAGTGTGGCGATTTAGTTGAAAAGCAACTTTGGCAATGGTCTGACAATGGTCTGGTGTTTTACCAGGGAGGGGCTGTAATCATTAGGCGGCAGTTACTGGTCTTGCGCGCTGAGGTGTCAAAGTACCTCGTCAAGATTCCCGCCAACTTTTAGCAGATGGGCGGGATACCGTGGAGATCGCAGGGGGGTCGTTCGCGCTGGCGGGAATTATGCACCATCGCATGAGGTCGCAAACCGTTTCCCGCCCAAGGAACAAGGTCACCTCAATGTTTTCTGGCATGGGTCACCCTCGCTATCGAACAGGGCCTTAAAGCCGTTGGCCCAAAGTGCACAAGTTTTTAAAACTTGGCCCAGGGGAAAAACGGGTGGCGAGGGGTGTGAAAGGGAAAGTTGGGAGCCGAAAGAAGGCACACCCAGTAAGCGAAATCGCGAATTTTTTAGCGAACAGCCGAGTCTAACAACAGAAAACCAGCCAATAGAAATTGTCGCACGGCGCACCACACACCGCGACCAAAAATCACACAACACAACACTTTCGCAGCTCTTGCGCTGCCACACACACAACACCATGACCTAGGCTTTCGACAACCAACCATGAGGCCCGCTAGTGCTTGATACTGCATACAGCAGCCAACTATAGTAGGCGGCACGAGCAAGCACACTTGCGTCGCGGATGATAAAACTACCAAATCCTTAGCATTACGACAGCCATAAAGGTTGCAGTTGAGATAAAAAACGTCACACGACCGTCATCAACAAACAGAACCACTTCATTCGAGACGGCGAGATAGGGAATATGGCCCGTCGCCCTGGAAAGGATGCTTCTCGAAGGTACGAAAAAACCCTGGACACGGCACGAACGTCGGCGCGAAACTGAAAGCATCGGAATGCGGCGAAATATCAAACACTGAATGCCAGCGCGGATAACGTCATATGGCACTACGTGGGAAACCTCACTTTCGCCCTATTAATAGCGACGCCACTTGACCATCTCCCATGCACCCACCTTCGCCATCACTTCCCCCTACTGTCGCCATCACTTCCCCCTCACGTCGCCTCCACTTCCCCCTACTGTCGCCATCACTTCCCCCTCCCGTCGTCTCCACTTCCCCCTCACGTCGCCTCCACTTCCCCCTCCCGTCGCCTCCACTTCCCCCTAACGTCGCCTCCACTTCCCCCTCACGTCGCCTCCACTTCCCCCTCACGTCGCCTCCACTTCCCCCTCCCGTCGCCCCCACTTCCCCCTCACGTCGCCTCCACTTCCCCCTCACGTCGCCTCCACTTCCCCCTCCCATCGCTTCCACATCCCCCTACAGTCGCCTCCACTTCCCCCACCCGTCGCCTCCACTTCCCCCTCCCGGCGCCTCCACTTCCCCCTCCCGTCACCTCAACCTCCCCCTCATGTCACCTCAACTTCCCCCTCCCGTCGCCTCCACTTCCCCCCCCCCCGTCACCACAAGTTCCCCCTTTTCCCCTGTGTGGTCCAATTCCCCCTTTGCTCGCCCCTTCATTCCCCTGCTCACTCCCTTGCCCCTTGAACACACTCTTCCCCTGTGCTCACTCCCTTGCTCCTTGTGTGGTATATTTCCCTCTCCTTAACCCTTGCTTACTTGCGTTCCCCCTTAGCTCACCCCCTTCTCCGCCCTGCTCACTCTCTTTCCCCCACTGCTCACCCCCTTCTCCACCCTGCTCACTCTCTTTCCCCCACTGCTCACCCCTTTCTACACCCTGCTCACCCCTTTCTACACCCTGCGCACTCTCTTTCCCCCATTCCTCACCCCCTTCACCACCCTGGTCATTCTCTTTCCTCCTTTCCTCACCCCCTTCACCACCCTGGTCATTCTCTTTCCCCCTTTCCTCACCCCCTTCACCACCCTGGTCATTCTCTTTCCCCCTTTCCTCACCCCCTTCACCACCCTGGTCATTCTCTTTCCCCCTTTCCTCACCCCCTTCACCACCCTGGTCATTCTCTTTCCCCCATTCCTCACCCCCTTCACCACCCTGGTCATTCTCTTTCCCCCTTTCCTCACCCCCTTCACCACCCTGGTCATTCTCTTTCCCCCTTTCCTCACCCCCTTCACCACCCTGGTCATTCTCTTTCCCCCTTTCCTCACCCCCTTCACCACCCTGGTCATTCTCTTTCCCCCTTTCCTCACCCCCTTCACCACCCTGGTCATTCTCTTTCCCCCTTTCCTCACCCCCTTCAACACACGGCTCACTCTCTTCCACACTTGCTCACCCCCTTCTACACCCTGCGATCTCTATTTCCCCTACAAACACCCTCCCTGTCCCCCAGTCCTACCCTCCCTTTCCCCCCCTCCACCTCGTCCTTCCCCGCACTACCCTTTCCTTTCCACCACACCTGCCCGTCCAATCCCCCACTACCCCCGATCCAATCCCCCACTTCCCCCGATCCAATCCCCCACTTCCCCCGATCCAATCCCCCACTTCCCCCGATCCAATCCCCCACTTCCCCCGATCCAATCCCCCACTTCCCCCCATCCAATCCCCCACTTCCCCTGATCCAATCCCCCACTTCCCCCCATCCAATGCCCCACTCCCCCCCGTCCAATCCCCCACGTCCCCCCGTCCAATCCCCCACTTCCCCCCATCCAATGCCCCACTTCCCCTGGTCCGATTTTCCCACACCACTAGGGCCACACCACCTTTCCGACTGTGCATGCCCTCCTATCTTGCAGCGACCCATTTCATCCTAGGTTCGCCCTCCCATCTGCGCCTCATTCTCACCAGCACCATCAACACCACCCATTCACCACACCATCAACACCACCCACTCACCAGCACCATCAACACCACCCACTCACCAGCACCATCAACACCACCCACTCACCAGCACCTTCAGCACCACCCACTCACCAGCACCATGATTATGGCGGTTGAAATGCGCTCGCATCACCTCACACGGGTGATGCGGGGGGAAGGTGCTGCAGGATGGGTTGTACGAAAATGAGGGGATGTGAACCTGCAGAGGGGAAGGTGGGAGAGGCAACACAGTGGGCTCCTTTCCCCCACATATTATTCCCCGTCGGGGCTCATCATCTGTTTTGGTGTCCACCGTCAATCTCGTCCATCTTTCCTCATTCAAATGCTACTGAATCTGCGCGCACGCCCAGCATTGTCGCGCAGGACATACAAGTTGTCCGTCATTGTATTCGGCTGTTGGGGTCTCCCTTGTAACACATATCCAGCCATCGATTCCAAACCGTGCAAATCTATACACCATTTCCAAACCCAACCTTCAGGCGTGGGAGGCAGACGGATGCAAGAGCAAGTGGAGGGTCCACTGTAGCGAATCTTAGCGACGAGCATGACAAGGCGGTTCACGGCATATCCAAGCATATGAGGCCAGTCATATGCCTTCAACGATGCGGGTTGTCGGCATTGATGGGGGGGAAGACCGAGGCGACAACTGCTGATGCTCTTTACTACTTCATGATGAACGCCCCTACAGCGTACAAACGGCTGATGCGGGCTGCCAAAGAAGCAGGTAAGGGTGGAAAGTTGGTGATCAAGTCATAGCATGGTCGTGTGTCCGTGATAGTTGAGCAATCTGATTGTTTTGCGCATCACAACGGCACAAGCAGCCACACAATAATGGATGGGATGTACTTGGTGTCACCGTTGTTCCGTGGCAGGAACACATGGGGGAGATGCATTGGCGACGGCAGAGCTTCACCTTGAGGCATATGGGCGCCAGTTCGATGCACGGGCAAACAGTGGTATTAACGCCGTATCTGGGATAGTGGAGAAGGCAGATTGCCCAATCGAGGGTCTGGTTTACAACTTCCCGCCCTACAAAGAGGATAAGAAGGGGAAAATACGCCCTGTTCGTGGAAACGGTTGGGGTGGGGCCCGAAGGGGTAAAGCCTTCGAGAGCGTGTGTGGACAAGGTGAGCAACATCGTGGCGTTGGCACAAGAGTATGCTATGTTGGCCATACAACCATGCAGCATGCTTCAGACGGAGGGTTTGTGAAGGCTGTACTGTTTATGAAGCGAAACTGAACTAGAGTTTGAATGCAAGTGCGTGTATACCCTAATGATTCTGATACATGGCGTGTGTGCAGATGTTGCCCAATCAACAGGAGCTGAAACAGAGGGGGTTGCTCCAAGCGTGCAGCCTCATCCTTGCACGATTGTTAGCACTGAAAGCAGCCAAGAGCACGCGGTACTCCATGCAGCTGGCGTACCAGATCAAGCCCAAAGGTGAGACAGTGCGTAGATGGGGTTGGTTGAATGAGGTATAAAACTAGGGGTGGTATTGAATGAATAGGTGGAAAGTGAAGACATTCGAGCATCCACGAGCCCTCACCCACCCACACATGCCCGCACGTGTGCATGAGCTCATAAGAATACAGACACATGCACGCACCTTTGGCACCATGCAGCCCCATGCGCACGCACCTTTGGCACCATGTAGTCACATGCGCACGCACCTTTGGCGCACCATGCAGTCACACGCACCTTTGGCACCATGCAGTCACACGCACCTTTGGCACCATGCAGTCACACGCACCCTTGCCACGTGCCATTGCGCCCTGCCTTGTGCTCTCCCATTGCGACCTGGATTGTGCCCTCCCATTGCGCCCTGCCTTGTGCTCTCCCATTGCGCCCTGCCTTGTGCCCTCCCATTGCGCCCTGCCTTGTGCCCTCCCATTGCGCCCTGCCTTGTGCCCTCCCATTGCGCCATGCCTTGTGCCCTCCCATTGCGCCTTGCCTTGTGCCCTCCCATTGCGCCCTGCCCTGTGCCCTCCCATTGCGCCATGCCTTGTGCCATCCCATTGCGACCTGGAGTGTGCCCTCCCATTGCGCCGTGCCTATGGGCCCTCCAGGAATACTCATCAGGATGGGCCCCTCAAGGATACTCCAGTTCCAGTCCCGAGAGGGTGGCCACGTGCTCCAGCCATCAAGGACATGTCACCGTACATGGTATGTTTCTTGGAGCCAAGACACATGCTAGAAGCATTAGCACCACTTCGTATCAGTTGCACAAGAAAAGCCTGCGGCGGGAGCATGTCCCTCGTGTCATGGAAAACTACATGGGCTTCACTAGGACTGTATTGGCACTGTAGTACATGCCCTACCCGCACGGAGATATGGACAAGCCCGAAGAAGGAAAACCCCCCTAATGGGAAGCGGACCGGACCAAGGTCTATACAGCTGATGCAAAAGTTTGTGGGTGCGTTTGCCCTCGGAGGGTTAGGGTTTCAAGTGATGTGGGAGTGTGTCGCAACCTCGGAATGCCAACTCCTGGAAAAACGACATTTTACCGACTGTTGCAGGGTGAAAAGGGTTTGTGGAAGGCTATCATTCGTGCAGCCCAGGTTTCTATGGAAGTAGTGCGTGATAGCTTGTCTAAGAGGGCTGGTGGGGTGGGATATATTAGCGTAGATGGTAGATTTAGCCAAGCTCGAGAGGCGGAGTGGTGCTGTGTGTCTTTTCTGCATCCCGAGAGTAGGAAAATTGTGCATGTCGAAAATACGAAGAAGTATGTCCATGATCCTTCATCCCCTAGGCTAGAAAGCGTTGCATTCAACTTAGGCATGGACTATTTCAAGAATGTGGGGTTTGAAATGGCTGGTATTGTTACGGACGAGGGTAGTACATTCAAGACTGTGGCTGCGGACAGAGGGGTGGGACACCAGCACGACTGGTGGCACAAGAGGCGGTCAGTGGTCAAGAGCTTCGAAAACGATCTGCAAAACCGTGTAAGGGCTGTGGTCCAAATTGATGAGGCTCAGGTCGTAGAGGACCTTCATATGCATACGGTCGTGAAGCTATAAGGGTGGTTGCAGAAGAAGGCCCCAAGCAAGGTGGGTGGGTCCAATGGAAAATACAAATTGATCGAGGACGTTTGCACTGAGCTCGGAATCAAGTACCGGTTTGTGGATCCGGCAGATGCAAAATGGGAACATCCTGACTTGCATAAGGTTGTGAACGCAGCAAGCGTGCTGGGGGCCGATCAAGGAGTGAGGGAATTGGAGGAGCGAGATGAGGAGGAGGAGGCGGACCAAGTGGACGTACCTGTTATGCTGTCGCTAATACATAGTCGTGGCATGGGGGGTCATCAGGATGGGCCTAGAGAGGGCGGTGATGCAGTGGAGATGCTAGAAGGACCAGTGCCGGTGGATGTTTGTTGGCCGGATGTGGAAGAATTGTGGCAATACGACATCCACCCAGTGCACGGATTGCGACCGTCATCTCAGGCGTCATTGGTGGTAACACTTGCGTGCAATGGTGCACGCGAAGAGACGGATTTCATGGAGCGTGTGGCAGATCTTTTACCCGCATCGGCCAATCAAGAAGGTAAGTTTAGCACTCTTACACATACTCACAGATCTAATGTCATGTCGGTCACACCATTTCAGCCACTCTCACTGCTCATTCTCACCATTTCAGCCCCCCCACAGAGCTCATTTTGTGCACTCCAGCCGCTCACAGACCACCACTCCAGCCCTGGACATAGCTCATTACCACCACTCCAGCCCTGGACATAGCTCATTACCACCACTCCAGCCCTGGACATAGCTCATTACCACCACTCCAGCCCTGGACATAGCTCATTACCACCACTCCAGCCCTGGACATAGCTCATTAACACCACTCCAGCCCTGGACATAGCTCATTACCACCACTCCAGCCCTGGACATAGCTCATTACCACCACTCCAGCCCTGGACATAGCTCATTACCACCACTCCAGCCCTGGACATAGCTCATTACCACCACTCCAACCCTGGACATAGCTCATTACCACCACTCCAACCCTGGACATAGCTCATTACCACCACTCCAGCCCTGGACATAGCTCATTACCACCACTCCAGCCCCGCATACACCTCTTCAGCCATGAATGCACATGGCATGTGCCGTGTGCACTACCACTGCAACACAACCAGCCTCTAATGTCCTGATGCTCATATATTGGGGACTTGCAGGAGGGCTGGATGGCATCTCCAGCATCAAGAGCAAGGATCAGCGACGGTGGTCAAAACGTAGCTCAAAGAAGCGGGCACGCGGGGAAGGTACCAGTGCGATCCCTGCTGGAGGGAGCGATGGTAGCAAGAAATTGGTGTTCTCTGTTGGTCAACGCTTTAGCGTGCATTTCAAGCACTGCATGATGCGGGCTGCCACCAAGGCCAGCGAGGGAGACCCGATGACGCCGGAGCAGGTGTCTGAGGAGTTGGGGCTTGCTGCAGATCACTGGGCAGGTGACCATACTCGCTGCCGACGTGTGGGAACCATGCCTCCACGCTGTATTTCGGAAGGGTGGGGGGAAGAGAGTGCTGTATACGCGTCTGGATCACCTACCCACTTGGCTGTTCGTGAATGGTTCAAATCACGGCTCGGGCCAACCCAAGTGGCAACATTGATTCATGGCGCAAACAGCTCACTGAACGAGTCTTTCCACTCACTTGTTTGCAAGTATGCACCCAAGCGGCTGCGTTTCAGAGGCAGCATGGAGGCACGCATAGCCTTAGCCGTGCTGCATTGGAACAGCTGCA